AGACGTCCGGCCCCCAGGCCGCCACACCCAAACAAGATCAACACTCACACATGACCACGTGACCCACCACAATGACACACAAAGTCACAGGACAGTATGCCACCCTCGGTGCCCGAGTGGAGGACCCAGCCCAAGGACCGCGTGCAGCACGAGGGCACCCCTGGAGAGAGACCGTGGCATGGTCAACGGGAGCTCGGCATGAGCCCTCTTCCCCACAGAGCCAGCTCCTCGCTTCCTCTCTGGCATGGGCAATGCGCCAATCTGACCACCCTCACCACCAGCCCCCCCAACACAGCCACCATGGGAGCACAGATAGAGGGAGGGAGGGAGGGAAGGAAGGAGGGGTGGAGGGGAGGAGCGGAAGGTGCTGAGGTCTGCACTTAGTGTGATGAAGGGCCTGAGGCAGGCCCTGTGAGGGAATCCCCAGCCACACACCCCCCACGGGGGCAATTGATTATCAAGCAACGCTCAGACAGGCGTAGCCCCAGGAGGAACCTGGGGCCACAAGTGTGTTTGAAGTGTCGATGATCAATGTGTCCTGCAATTCACATTAATTCTCGCAGCTAGCTGCATTCTTCATGGACGCATGAGCCAAGTGATCCACAACTAAGAGTCATACGAGGTTTTGAGAAGGGCAGGGGGCCAGGGCCCCCCACCTCTGGGGCACAGTAGATCTCCCTCCACGCCCGCCGGAGCAGGGAAGGGGGTCGCCTCAGACCAGCCAGCAGACGAAACCAAGACCACGGCCGAGGTCACTAGGAGTTTCACCAACAGGGGTCACCTGGGGGAGGCCTCAAACCCCGTCAGTGGGGCGAGTCCAGGATGACCCCCACAGGTGCCTGGGGACCTCCACTCCCCAATGAAGGCACAAGGAAGCCACGTGCAGGATGCACGTGCCCTGCAACGGCCGCCAGGCAGCCCTGGCCCCGGGGGATGGACCAGATCCCCTGGGGTCTTTAAACCTCCGTGCTGGAATGAGCTAGGTGTCTGGATGGGGGGGCACACGGGAGGAGGAAGGGAGGGGGAGAAGCCAGTGTCCTCCCCCGTGCTCCCCAACCAACCCCCGATCACCAGACACCACGAAGGACAACCCGACTATGGTCGGCCGCCCCGCTGGAAGAGTGCCACCAGGCCACGGGACCGACCGCGGTGCTGCTCACCCATGACCACACGGGCCGCCACCAAGAGACCACCACGCGGACCAACTGCACCCCCCCCAGTGACCCGGACCGATCCCCCGCCTCAGAGCGAGGGCGGGGAGCGCAGCCAGATGAGGGGGGGTAGGGGGGGAATGTGGCTGGGGCCCCCCCCCCCCCGGGCCCCGGCGGCCGCGGG